TGTTAAGAAATAAATTTGACTAAAATCATGACTGGAGAATTAACAAATCACAGATTCTTGACTTTATTTGCAACTTTTCTAGAAATGCCAGATAGCCTAGTGATTTTAAATGATGTATATTTTTATACATTTTATTGAATGGAAAAACCCAAATTACATAGATAAAATCGTCTGCCACCTCACAGTGCCAGTTTCACTGACGTTCATCTTCTGAGTCAGACTGAAACTGCTGCGGTCGGTTTACAGAAATGTGGTTTTGTCTGTTGGGTGGACAAACATCTTGCAGGTGAGAATGTGCATTCAGTGCGTGTGTGTTTAGTTTGCAGTTGAAGAGCTTCTTCCTGTCCTGATACTATTATCATATTTTAGACACTTTAATCTACTGGAGAAAAAACAAACAAGATGAGCAACTGTTTGACACAGAGGGAAAGAAACAATAACACAATTATCATATTTAACTGTTCAAAAGTTTAGAATGTGTTTCCTTTGATTTTCTTTAAAATTTACACGTGGAAAAAAAAAAAAGACTGTCAGAGCTTGGTTGGAAGGATAGAGTTGAAGCGTGGATCTATTTTCAAAGTGGTATCAAATTGGGTAAAAAAAAAACTAAAAGAAAACACAAAACACCCTGTGACACGGCTGCTCATAAACTACAGGACTAACTATATTTACATACAGAATAAACAAGACACTAGTGGGTGAAAGAGGTTTCAGGGGTGAGTGAAAGAGGTAGATAAGGGGTCTGTGGCCAAATATGAGTTGGACATAGTTCATCCGGTTTCTGATGTTCACTTAAGTCATGTGAGGCTAATGGGGAACAGATTAACAGGAAGCGAGAGATTTCAAACTAAACGTCCTTGAGAAACTTCAAGATAAAAGTCCTGAACGCAATAGAACACAAAAACAGCTGGAGCCTGAGAAACTGCTGAGAAACTAGTTATTGTGGTTTATTGAAAATATGCATTGAATACTATCTGATTGTGGGGGTGTGGATCGGGATGTGGTTTATGACTTTCATTATTTTGCATCATCCATTAGATTAATTTAAGTTTGTCCGATGGATATGAGTGAATGTGTGAATCATCAATAATGCTTTTATTTGTTTGTATGTTACATTCTAGACACATTTCTCTACTCAAAATCTGTATGTAGAAAAAACTATTTCACAGTTTTGTTTTTTAAGTGCTTCAGTGTTTCTGTCATTAGTGTGTATAATTTAGTAATTCACAGCATTTTCCTTTGAGAATGTTAAAATACAGTTGAATAATTATTTAAATTGATCCAATTAATGAAACGTGAGCTCTGAGTCAGTATTAAAACATAACTAAGATCATCTCTATCACCTCACATGCACATCAAGTGACACAATTTTCACATTATGTCACATGACTCTTAGTCTTAAAGGAGTAGTTCACTTTTTAAAAAAACTTTTGCTGATAACTTACTCACCCCCATGTCATCCAAGATGTCCATGTCTTTCTTTCTTCAGTCGAAAAGAAATTAATGTTTTTGATGAAAACATTCCAGGATTTTTCTCCATATAATGGACTTCAATGGTAGCCAAACGGTTCAAGGTCTAAATGACCGTTTCAGTTCAGCTTCAAAGGGCTTTAAACGATACCAGACGATGAATAAGGGTCTTATCTAGTGAATCGATCTGTCATTTCAAAAATAAATAAAAAAGTTAAAGTTTTATAGGCAAAAATGCTCGCCTTGCGAACTCTCCTGTTCGAACTCGTTCATCAAAATGAACAAATCTTTTTTCGAGTCATTGACTCGTTCATCAAAATGAACGAATCTTTTTTCGAGTCATCTGCGTCCCAATTCGCATACTATCCGTCCTAAATAGTATTCGAAAATAGAATTAGTACGTCCCAAATCGCAGTATGTTGAAATGAGTGTCCCAAAGAGACCCGGATGGTCTACTATATCCGGTCAGAATCCGAAGTGCAGATCGATGCGCACTCTAATGGCTGATATTGCCCACAACCCATCGCGCGTTGGACGAGGATTCGGTTAGAACTACAAACACGAATGAAAAGTGTTCAAAAACTACAGACATGGAGGATGCGCGAGTCTGACGGTTATGTAGAGAGGTCAGGGGCGGCCTTACCTATGTTTCACCCGTTTCCAATGAAACGGGCCCCGCCCTCCAAGGGGGCCCCAACAGACCAGCAAAATCCCATTCATTTTCTCTGTAGGATATTGATTTTCAGCCATAATGTCTAAACCATTCAAGGTAGATTGACCACGAGCTACGAGGTTGTGAAATGAAAGTTTCTGCTCCTTTAAAAGCCACACGCTACAAAATCAACCTTGTTATTTGCAAAACACTGACGTCTCTGATTGGTCGTACTCGCGGTTACCATGGCGACGTTTACCACTCCCGCGAACGGCTTAAGCGATCTGAAGTATAATATCGGTAGTTTATGTATTTACACCTTTGCCTTTTTTGCCGTTAGGTTAAAATGTTATTTTGAGCAGAAAAATAATTTTAAGAGGAAATGAAACGTACATATGCCAGTGGTGCTGAAAAACTAAAGATATCGGACAACAAAAGAAAAGCTTTATTCAGTCTACCAAAAGTGAAGTTACCCTGCGTGAAAGGGCGAGGCTTATTCAAACGTAAAACGCTGTATAACTGTATAGTTTTAATCAAATAAGGTTGTATTATTTCTATGTTGAGCTGCCTGTTCATGAAGCTGAAAGTGCACGTAATAAAATAATATACCATTGATGCAAACCAACAGGAATCCTTGCTTTTTCTGCTCTATTATGTTTATGTTTTATGTGGGTAGGGCCCCATATTAGTTATTGAAACGGGCCCCCAGATGCTTAAGGCCGCCACTGAGAGAGGTTTAGATAAAGGGGTTTGAGTTATTAATTATCAGTATCTAACCTGACGAAAATGTATTTATTCAAAGTTGTCCACATTATATTGCATCTGAAGCAGCATTGTGAACTTTTGCAAAGATACGTTTAGCCATTCACTTTTAAATGCATTATTATATTCAAATTCCAAACACATGAGGAGAGTCTCGGCATGAACGACCCATGACTGGCAGATGAACGTGCGACAACAATTGTCTCCGAAATGGTAAGAAGTTATATTAGATTGAATGGAGGATTTTAACTGTGACGAGATGATTGACAGGGCAGTTTACGGTGACAGGATGCACGTGACAGATCTGTCCGTTAAAGATGACGAAGTAGTATGTCCCAAAGCTTGCCTACTCTTTTGCTACACACTTAAAAGTATGTACTTTTTCTTCACAAAAAGAGTACATACTTTTAGGGCGTAGTATAAGTAGGCGAATTGGGACGCAGCAATTGACTCGAAAAAAAATTCGTTCATTTTGATGAACGAGTTCGAACAGGAGAGTTCGCAAGGCGAGCATTTGTGCCTATAAAACTTTAACTTTTTTATTTATTTTTGAAATGACAGATTGTTTCTCTAGATAAGACCCTTATTCATCGTCTGGTATCGTTTAAAGCCCTTTGAAGCTGAACTGAAACGGTCATTTAGACCTTGAACTGTTTGACCATTGAAGTCCATTATATGGAGAAAAATCCTGGAATGTTTTCATCAAAAACATTCATTTCTTTTCGACTGAAGAAAGAAAGACATGGACATCTTGGATGACATGGGGGTGAGTAAATTATCAGCAAAAGTTTTTTAAAAAGTGAACTACTCCTTTAAAGTAACCTGTTGCATTGTGCTGTAATGCTGCTTCAGCTGCTGTTATTCAGAACCGCCAGATGGCGCCACTCAATATCGAGAATGAAAGTGATGACAGTAAATATGAGTTAAAGACAGTCAATCTGTAATTATCATTACAGCTTCAGGTCTGTCTTCTTGTCCTAGCAGGAATGTGTTGTTGTTCTTCTGGGTGATTTACTATCAATGCAGCAACTCTGTGTATATGTAGGATATTTTTATTCTAATATTAAAATAATGATTCACTGTTTTGAGTCGCTCGAATCTCCACACGCTGGCGACCCCTGCTGGTCAGAACAGCAGCGAAAACTCAGTCCAAACATGCATAAAACACCTTTTACAAACCCATTGTAAACGTTTTATTGAAGATGTAATCTATTAAAGGCAATTAACAAATCATATAGGAGCATTAAATAACAAGTGTCTTTATAATATGTGTTATTTTATTAAATTGTAGGATTTGTTTTGTTTGTTTTATGGAGAGATTGGTTATCAGACCAATGAGACTTTTAACTACAGCTTTTTATTTTTATTATACATATGTGTAATTAAATATCTATAAATGTATAAAATCGATCCGTGATCAGGTAAAGATCACGTGGACAACCCCAGCGGCAAACTGTTATGACCAGTCTATGGTTATGACGTAGCCTATGACGAACATGACGAACCGGATGAACCCTGTTGACTGAAATCATGTGACTTTGACAGCAAAAGAAAAAAAAGGAAAGGTGACTGGCAGTCTGATTGTTCGAAACAAATGATTCACAAAGGTTTCGAAGCTTCATGAAGCGTGTTTTGAAAGCGCACATCACTAGTTTATTTTTAGCTTTTCCTCTGTGAGAACAGAAACATTTATTTATAGCTCACTGTAGGCTATCGGGTAAAAGTAGTAGGCTACTATTATTAGAGATGTGATTTTATGATTTGGACACTAGAGAGCGATGATGTGCTTGTGCTAAAATATCCAAAACGTGTGTGTGATACTGTAAAAACTATGCATTCCATATTAAGATTTCTATTTATTTAAACATGAGTAGACCAGGTGATCAAGAACAGTAAAAGAGTGAGATCAAAATGTAATAAAGTTTCCATGTGTTAAGCTAAAAATAGAACAGTAGAATAGTTCAGTTTCTGCCTTTTGTGCACCACTAAATTAAACTAATACACAGCAACACAATTTCAGACATAACAATAGTGCTTATGAGAGTGCAGGTGCAAAAGAAAAAAAAAAAACAGATGAAAAAAAAAAGTGAAAGCAAAACAGAGTCAGAAGAAACCCATCCTGGCAGAGATGTTGTATTTGATCAGCATTTTGGGGGGATATTTCCATATATGGCCTCCTTTGAATTCTGCAAGGAAAAATAGACAGTCAATCAAGACAAGAGCAACAGTTTAAATACTTAAAAAAAAAAAATAATAATAATTACATTTTATGTAGGCTTCACAAGAATTATTAAAGAAACTATTAAAGTTTCTGTAAAATTATTTATTTCACTGGGCATAGTTTTTAAGATTTGAACATTTTAATTGATTGTAGCAGGTGACCTATATAATTTTGGGTATCGCCCATCATTTGCATAAGTTTGATCTCTTGCATTGCCAACGGTCACTGTCTCCTCTCAACGACAAACACAAAAATCTACCATTACCTGCGATGGAGATAAACTTTCTTCCAGGAAAACGCAAAAGGTGGTGGAAGGTATAATGTTAGAGACTGACAGTTACGCCTTTTTCATACTCCGTTTTCCGTAGGCTAGTCATGTTAACAGGTTTAAGCCGGTTTAAGCCGTTCACACTGCAGGAGTGTTTCCGCACAGAGTTATGCACGTGCAGAATTAAAATGACAGTGCATGGTACGTGGTCAAAATACTACTATTTTTCAGTCATCTTTTTACTTTAAGCCCGGTAAGGAAAACTAGGCCTTCTACACGCTACCTCAACAAGGCGACATAATGGATGGCACTCATTTATTCGTGAAGTTGAAAAATAAAAGAGTTCTTTATGACCCGGAGGATTTCTTGTATAAAGATTTAAATGCAAAAGAAAATGTTTTGTTAATTTAGTTTTAATTTAAAATGTTGGTGATTTTAACTTTAGAACGTTAACTTTAACGTTTAGACATTTTGCCACTTGCTTGAGCAACTAATATATCTAAATATATAAAGAAGTTATGCAAAGTTGTTTAAATGTATTGTCTTTAAACGTGAATAATACGTCTATGAAAGTGTAAATCAATGTAATGTGTACAAGAGGATACAAACTTTTGGGTTTCAAATATAAATAGTGAATAAATGTTTGTGGTAAAGCCGCGGTTCAGTTGCGCCGTCCGAATTTGACGATTGATTAAAAGATGGCTAATTCGTACGAATTCGTACGACCTCATTCGTACGAATTTGTACGATTTGTCTAAACCCACGTGATGGGTAGGTCTAGGGACGGGGTCAGGGGTAGGTCATTCGTACGAATTCATACGAATTGGGCAACTCGTCAAATATGTACGTTTTAGCAAAAATCTTACTAATTCGTACGAGTGAGGTCGTACGAATTGTTACGAATTAGCCATCTTTTAATCACTCGTCAAATTCGGACGAATTGGTCGTGAGATAGCGTTGGTGAAAGCACTATGGCACGTGCAAGCACTGCAACGGAGGAGTATAGTTCACTTTCAATGTATGGAATAAAAATATGCAATGAAAGTGAATCGTGACTGAGGCTGACATACTGCCAAAAAGAAACTCATAACAGTACGGTGAGTAGCCTATAAACTTTTTTTTTGGATAATTGGATATAATCATATTTTATTATTAAGGAAAATTTAATTTATAGGTCTGCAAAATGGGAATACTGTATGTTAGTATTTACACTGCAGTGCAAACAGCATAGTGTAAATAGCATAAAAAAAACATGCTTCTTCTAGACATTTCCTATACTGAAGGTAATAATTTACACGGTGGACTATCCACATCTGTTCACTGACTGTATGATCCACATGGAACACAAAAATTTGAACAGATTAAAGTGTAAATTGCAGGTTAACCACCACAACCAATTAATGTGTAAATTAAAGTGCTCAATGTGTATATATGTAAAAATTTCTGTCTTAAAATGCGTTAAAATAACATTTATTGGGGTTTCTTCAAAGGTAGCATCAGGCACGGCGCCAGGATTCCAGGTTTGGATGGGCCAGACCAATTGTGGCTGGGCCTTAAATTAAAAACGTTATTCAATCACTGTTTAACCTATTAAACATTACTGACTAATATATCTGTACGTAGGCTATACATAATATAGATTTTAATAGCTTGATGCTCTTTAAATATTTTATTGCATTGTTAAAAAGTTTCGGTGCATATGGAGTTTGGTTCTGACCAAAGAAGAGCGCTTTCGGAATCTCCATTACGCATCGGCTGCGTTTCCCGATAAAAGAAAAAGCGGTGTTCTTTATAAAAGATGCACTTCAGAAATAGTTAAAATTGCTTTTATTAGGACTCATGGGATAGGCAGAGGCGCTGGCGCCCTCCTAGCAACGGCGCTGGTCGCGCTAGCTGCGATAGTCGCACTATAGCGGGTGGCAGAGACGAAGATGTGCTAGGTGATGTGGATCTCAGCTTTCCTTCATCTCCTGGTTGCAGCGATGACTCAGAGACTGTTCGTGCGCGTTTAAGGTAGCTACCTAAACAACGACTGTTACATTGTCCTTTACTGGAAATTATTTTCACACTTTCACAAGCTAATGATAAGCGCTGAAGCTGCAATTTTTCTGACATGGAGTGGGTAAAACGTTATTTTGACCACTTGAGTTTTGTTTTGTAGAAAGACTTTAAAAAAAAAAGATTTTCGTTTTGTATAAATTGTATCTTAATTTTGATCAATGTTTTATCAACCAATTGCCTGTATTTAATAAATTGGAAGCAAATATATAGCAGACAATGTAATAAGGCGCCGGCACGATCACTTGCATTGCACGACAACTTGAGCATGTTTCCGCCACAGAGTGAAAAATAAAAAATGTAATTGCGTGATATAAAGTGGCAATTGCAGGTTAGCTATAAAGTCAGAATTGTGTGATATAAAGTCCAATTGCATGTTAAATATTTCTATATATAGAATATTTCTATATTTATGTGCGATAAATAGGCTATAGCTTGAAATTCTGACTTTTTTTTCACAGAATTGCATGTTTATATCTCGCAATTCTGACTTTATAATACGCAATTGGGAGATATAAAAGCAGAATTGCATGATATAGTCGCAATTGCGTGTTACAAAGTCAGAATTGAATTGTGAGATATAAACTATTCTGGGGTAAAAAAAAAAGAAAAGAAAAAGAAGCAATTGCGACTATTTCACACAATTCTGACTTTATAACACGCAATCGCGGCTTTATTTCACGCAATTGCGACTTTATTGCACGAAATTCTGATTTTATATCTCGCAATTCTGAGAAATAAAGTCAGAATTGTGAGATGTAAACTCGCAATTGTGAGATAAAAAGTCGCAATTATCTTTTAAAATGTTTTATTCTATGGCGGAAACAAGCTTCCATAGGTTATAGCCTATAGACTGCCCTATTTAGCCTAATTGAATTAATATAAAGGGGCGATTTGTCCACTAATGGCTTAAATGAACAACTAGTCAACTAGGGAAAAAATAATAGTCGGAGGCCTATTCCACATATCTTCGAAGTTCGAGCCAGCTAGGAGGCAATTCTGGGTTGAGCGAGTGACCCTGCGGAATATTCAGAATGCGCTCTCCGCTCACATGCTCTGATCGGAACAAACCCGCACTGTCTGCTGAACTTGCGCAGAAACATCAAAAAAGACATAACCAGCTTTTTAAAATTGTTTTTAAAACTAAACATTTAGACTATTTTAGCACATATTATGAGCTTATTGGCGATTTTTTTTATAATTCTTGACAAAACATTTTTGAAGAAAAGTTTTGGGTGGGCCTGTTGAAAAGTGGGTGGACCTAGGCCGCTTTAAAACCCATAACGCCGTGCCTGGGTAGCATGTTTTTTACCATAACTGGGTGATGACGTCATAAGAGGGAGCGCGGGCGGTAATGCACCAAGGGGGTAATCCATCAGCCGGAAGTTGAAGCTGCCTCCGGGGGCCGCCGTTGTAGCTGGCTATCACCTGCTGTTAGCATCCCATTGACTCCCATTCATTTTGGCGTCACTTTGACAGCGAATAACTCTACATCTGAGGCGTCCAAAGACTCCATTTTTCCATTATTTATTTCTAAAGAAACACGACAATGTATAAAAGGCTGCATTACTTTGTATCTTACGTTATGGCCCCGTAGAAGCCATTCTTGTAAAAATAGGCTAACGATTGCGTCATAACCACGGGACGCTCTGTCGCACAGTAGAGAAATTACCGTATAGACAGAAGTAGAAGCTCGTAGGCAATCGTTTACTGTCTATGAGGCAATCGAGTGGACATGGAGGCATAAAGTCAAGGGAGAAGCCCATAGATAGAGAGTTCATAAAAGCAACGGGACAAAATATTTCAACAACAGATTTGTTTCAGATTTCAATTCAGATTTGTCACGGCACAGCTACTAGAAGGTCAGTCAGGTTGCTCACGTGACAACTACGTCGTCAAGCTCAGTTTGAGCCTGCGCAGTGCGCTTGGCTATCAGGAAGTGAGTGCCCATGTTGGGCTTCAACTCTCTCCGTTGAAATCAACGGGGTCGCTGTGTCCATTTCTTTTACTGTCTATGTAATGCACTCACTCTGTGTGTGCTGGTTGAGGGAGAATAAAACGATTCGTGGGACTCCCGCAAACTAGAAATATCTATGAATAAAACATAAAAACGAATACATTTTTATTCATCTGTTGCAGAAAAGCAATAAGAACAACTAAAACAAAATAGAAACGGTTTACAGGCCGTTTACAGTTTCTATTTCTAAAATGTTTGCAGCGTTGAGCGATGTAGCCAATCACAGACATATGTGTTGATTTCTTGAACCTAATAATGGCCAATCAGAGGCATTTACGATGGACTTCCCTCACCGCTCAAAACTGACTTTTTGTTCAGTGCTGAATTCTGTATGCTGGCAAATCCTCTAATTATAACAAACATAGTGTATATATTATGAAAGATTCATTGATAATAACAGAGATGTGTGAGATCGCGATGAACTGGTGTCAGCTGTTTAGGAATTATTATGGGAGCGCATGCTTTGCGCGCAGTCATGCCAGACTATGCACGCAGTAGCCCGCTTGCTTTTATGTTATAACAGTGATCAGGAGCATGTATGCTGATGTGTATGGTGGCGACACGTAGGCTAACTTGAAAGTATTTGGAGGTACAGAAAAAAAAGTCTTTTTGCGGGTGGTAGCGGGACAAAACATAAATGTTGCGGGCGGGAGAAAGTAACATAGAAAGTAGTTGAGAACATCAGTTATAACGACCCACGTATTAAAAAATTGTCGGGTTTAAACCGGGCTCATAATTACAGTTAATGTGTGGGGCAGGACCGGACCGGGCTCGGACACAGCGGGCTCGGGTAGGGTCTTGCTTGAATTTTTTGGGCCCGATCTAAGCTCTACCTCGGGTAAGTTATGCTAACACTTACAGGCACGAATCAGCCATTTGTCCTTGGGGAACTTGTGGAGCCTCTCCCCAGTTTTTGATATATTCGTACATCCCGCACAAACACAATAGTTAACCATTTTTGCTAGCTAGGTCTCCAATATAACGTAACTCCAGGCCTGGAGCATAGACAGTAAAAGCTTGGAGTACCTTTTATGACGTCACGCCCAGCCTAGTGGAAGGGAGGGGGCGTGCTCATAACCACTGTAAAACGCAGCAACTTTTCATATTATATTTAGCATTTTGGTATAAAAAACATAAAAAAACAATGGTGGGTGGTTCTTATCTTTATGTTTAGTAAGCACATTGCATTATCTTCGTGAAAAAATTTACCTGCAATTTACACTTTAACTGACTGCAACAACTTCTTGCAACACAGAATGATCTTACCTTTTTTCGTCTTGTTGGTTTACACAATGCAGAATCCTTCATGTCTTTCGCCTGGGTCTGAACTGCATTAACAATAACATAATGCATACATGTTTAAAACAACAAAGTTTTCAATCTAATAATGAAATTGGTGCCTTATAAAAGATAAATATTTTAACATATGCATTAATTGTTTTATCTCCTGACCTATTTTTTTACGTTTCCTGCAGATGCAGCAGATCACGACTGCAACTATAATCAACAGAGATCCAGCAGCAGCAGCAGAGATCAACACTATCAGAGACACTGACACTGGAGGAGGAGAAGGAGACTGTGTTGTAATGTCTAAAGAGAGACATCAATGTAAGTGAATGCATCAGTCTGATCTACAACAGAAGACAGAGATCAGGTCAGTACATACACATATATCATCAGTGCTGCTGTACCTGCACATGTGTGGCAGAGTGTGTTGATGTCCAGATGTGTGGTCTGGTTGCTGATGGGATTGTTCAGCACACAGCTGTAGGTGTTTTTATCCTGATATTCCACCTCCAGAGGTAGAGAGAGACTGATGCTGAGATCACACACACTGATGCTGGACAATACACTCATTCCTGCGTACCAGGAGAGAGTCACATCACACACACTCAACACTGAACACACCAATGAACAATTTGATGATGGTGATGAAGAACATTGTGAAGAGTTACTGATGATTACAGGAACAGGCAGACGAGCTGGAAAACATGAGAAAATAAAGAGTAGTATCAATAAATCTACACAAATATCTTATTTCCAGCTCAATGTGAGTGTTCAGGGCAGTGGTATTCAAATGGTGGACCCTCATTGGTTCCATCCGAACCGTGGGACATAATTGCGGCATTTTACCATTTCTAAAGTTTATAGCGAGCAGCGCATCAAAACAATGAAGCGGTTCCCTTTCAAAAGCTTCTCTCTATGCTGCTTGATTGTAGTGCTATGGGAACACTTTGTGTGTGACTGGCTATGAAGAGTGTGTGCAGACACAACAATGAAATCGGCCTTGAGCTTGAACCTCTGACGGTGACGCCATTGGAATATGTTGCTCGTCAGTAGCTACAAATAGATATGCAACAGGTGTGCATCTACAACGCAAAGAGAAAAATGAGTGTCACACAAGGTAAACTGTGTGTGCCTCCATGTTTACGGCCCATTCCTGAATACAACACCCATTAGTTTTGCTTTGTGTTTGGGGGAAGAGCAATCTGTCCTTGCGTTTGAGCATGGTGAGTGTGAGGACTGTGAAACGTTTACAGTTAAAGTGCATGCTTCACGTTCGCTTTGCTTATTTTCAAGAGCTTGCACCCACAATGTGCTCGTGGGGCTTGTGTATTAATCTGGGTGAGGGGCGGGAGATGGGACCGTCCCTATCACTCACTCTCTCTCCATATCGGGATGTTCCCTTTGCCGGACTCCAAAGCTCAGTTCCTCTTCGGCTCGGAGGGAGGACAATGAATCTCTTGTTTCTGTTGGTATTGAATGTGAGTTCGCCGCTTCCGAGCATTCCTCCCGTAAGGACAAAGTGCAAGAAGAACTACTTGAGTTGGTGACTCATGTAGTGTCCAGTTAGGTCACACTTGGCATTTTTGGTTACCCTGGTGCTATTGCTCTGTTAGTGTAGTTCATTTGAATAAGTGTGAACGCTGCCATCTGAACAGTGGAGCGCACCAAACAAGCGGACCGAGACGATAAAATATGCGTCTTGATCCGCTTCCAAACGATCCCTGTTTCGGTTTGGATGAAATATGAATGCAACACGGACCAAAAACATGTAAACGAACCATATACAGGAAGATAAGACCCCAAAAGGACAGAATGCTAAACCATACCTGTTTTTTTCTGGTCAGTCGCGATGTTTCCCATCACAGTTCGGTACAGGCATCAGAACCACGTCTCCTCGCAGCAGATCTTCGTTTGTGTGTGACGGAGGGATTCCTGCTGCTGTTTTGACTCCTTTACACTCCTTTGACTCCTTTTATAAGCTGTTCACAAGTTCTTAGCTGGTCAGAATACCATCATATGCAGGCTACGCATCCACAACGAGCGCATTTAGCCCAGAACACAGCATTGTTTTGGATGTTAGGTAAGTTCCGTCTCAAACTAGGAAAACCCGTCATACAAGCAGACCAATCAAGTTGTGATTGAATCTCTTTGCCTTTAGGCTTGGTATCTTTAGGTTTTGGTGATTAAAATGCTAATCAGACCAGGACTAAATGTTTTTTTTTTTTGGCCATGGGAACAAGAGCCCCCCAAACACTCTAGACTGGACGACAGATTTCTGTCTGGTGGCCATCAGGAGTGACCTCAACATCGGTCTCTCCCCTTCTTTCTAGTGGCACTCACTGCAGAGTGGACGTCCAATGGGATGGGATTAGTCCAGCTCCACCTATCTGGACGTATAAAGGGGTGCAGGGATAGAGTTGTGGGTAGGGTTAGGGTGTGGTAAAATATTCTAGCTCCATCCATTAGACCCAAATTACATTAGCTCCTCCTCGTTAGACATCCAGCTAGATGTAAGCTCCACCCATTTGCTCTGTAGTGAGCAGTATCTCTGTTCTGGCTATCACCTGACCAAGCTCAATCTTTTAAGATTGAACATTAGTCTGGGGAGTCTGCTCTGTATTTTCTACTGCACAAGAGGCGTGATCAACTGGCATAGTTCAAATGACTCTGTACGCAATTGGATAGTACTCCAACCAATCAGACCAACGATCCAGGTGACGTACTTTGCAGCGAAAACTCCAGGCAGGAAATGTGTAAACAAACGTTTTGGTTTGGAGCATTGATCAGCGGTTTGCAGAAGCAGCAATGGCATTGAGCGATTTTTGCAGGTTGTACAAAAAAACTAAATATAAAAGTGAGTGGTATTTACACCCTCTCGAGCGATTTGTTTGCTAAACTAAACTAAGCCATTGAGCATCATCGAGAGGTTAAAAGGAATTGGATTTGATTAACCCCCTGGGGTCGGCTATCGCGCCGGCGCGATTGTCTCGCTTTTTTCTTATCAGTGCAAAAGAGACTCAAAATACTCGGTTGATTTTGATCTTACATATAAGTGTGATACATCATTAGATCCTGTTAAGTTTCTATTTTTTTTGTGGATACTCACAATAAAAACAAAGTGTTGTGCTTTTCACCAAATAAAGAAAAACAAACATGATGCGAGTTCAGCGTTCTCTCTGTCAGTGAAGTCCATTCTGAAACGCGTCCTAAGATTAACTGTAACTCCGCGATTACTTGTCACACAGGCACGAGAGATTTTTCTTTATGAAGCTTGAATTCTCTTCTTTTAAATGAGTAATTTATATAAAAAACAAATATTCTCAGTTTATGCAATCTGTATGAAAAGAGAGTGCTGTCAGTATTTTTTTCCCAGCTCATTACACTTCATTACGCGTTAATCTGACACGCCCACGGAGGACGCGCGCTGTTCAAACGCAAATGTCGAGGCAAGCCATGACAATGCCCACATCAGCCGTTCCCCCGCGGCGGTAAAATGTGTGGTGTATTTGCTGCCTTTTACCGCTAAGAGGCGCTACAGTCATAGACTTTGAAAAGTGTTCGTTTATTCCGGTTTATTCTCTCTAATGCGTAATCTGCTGCCGCACCGCGGCTGATTCAGAGCGATTGAATGCTGGTAGCAGATGAATTCAACAAGTGAAACATAGTTAAAATAATTCATAATCACAATACTGAAATTAGGCTACTGAAATGTAATTGAATAAATAATTTACAACTTTAACAGCGTACAGACGGTAGCTCAGTGATCAACGCAACAACACGAGCTTCGAGGAGCTTCATTCGACCCGAGATCGAATCTCAAAGTAGCATACATGTTGTTAATCGATGTTGGCCTACAGCGTTTATATTTTACCACCTTGATGCTTAAATAGGTAACTGTTTATAACTGTTTACTTATTTAAAGTCAAGAGTTTTGTTTGATTATCATTACAACATAAATTTGCTACATTCCTGTAGAACCGCAGCCGCTGCACAAACGACAAAAACTGATGAAGGAAGATTGTCAGCCGATTGCGTCAGAAAATGAAAATGAAGAAGCTCGTCTTTAGTCTGCTAAATTATTGTGTAATGTAAAATAACACTAAAATTACTTAAGTTTGAAAACAAGTTCGAACATTTCAAGGTTTAATTTTTTTAATTTAAAACAGGGTTGCATCGGGTTTAGAGTTTATTTCTTTTGCGATGCAAAATAAGAAACACTAGGCTAATCTTATTCTTGCGACATTTTAAATTTGTATTGCCAAAGAAATTACAGCTAAATTAAACAATTAAAACAGTACAAAACGAAAATTGTCCAAAGAAACATAATTAAATAAAAAACATGCGTTTCTCTTTGCCTCTCTCGCGCTGGATCTCTTTTTAACAAGTTTATTTAGTCTCCCTCGCTGCGCGCGCCGTGTCTCTCTCGAAATTAAACATTTCAGGGTAAAAACACATCATACAGCTGATAATACTGTAGGCTATATGTCGCTGCGTGTCAGCCATACAAATCACGAAAAAATTATTTAGCCTTTAATTGTTGCTTCAAAGACACAGCACACCTTGTTGAATTCACCTTACAATAACTTCAATTGAAATTTTGTTTGAAAAAAACTTTAAATAGGCTACAATAGATAAACTACAATATTTATAATTTAATAAGATATGGGGCCTACATTTGGACACAGATTTGTCCTTACAATAATTTTGCCTGCTCATCAGGCTGGCTATCCGACCCTCTCCATATGAAAGAGGAACATTAACACCTTTGTCCAGCAACTGTCCCTCCAACCCCCCCACAGGCTATCGGAGTCTGAGGCTGACTTAACACAAAGAGAAGTCGCAATTCACACTTAAATCGCCATTCTAGACAGTGTTGATAATGAAGGAATTAAATGATTTAAGTTACATGTAGCCTAGTGATATTTCTGTCATAAAAGTTTATTACTAAATGTTTCATTATTTCAATAATTGATGAAATAAAACTGGTTTGGTCCAGCTTTTTCCAAGCAAAACTAAATATAATCTGAAAAATCACATGTTAATTTGTTGTCATGAACAAAATGTCCAACTCAATATTAAAGTCTACAGGGATCTTTGGATCCTTACAACCAGGCATGCAATTTGTGAATTAAGTTTTTATTTTATTTTGTATTATTCAAATAAATATCGAAACACGGTGCTTCGTGGTAATGCTGCTAAATTAAATAACATTTATAGAATAATTATGAACTTAAATGAAACAATATCGCAACATTTCGACAAATACATTATTTGATCTGTTTTTACATTTTAATTCAGGGCGATTTAGCCTACATTTAATAAGAGCGAGATTTTCACCCTTGTCTTGTCATTTTCTCATTGGGAAGCGCTTCCATTACATGTTTGAGTAGATCCTCTGTACCTCTCGTTTTCATATGGATTAGCCTACACAATCAGATAACATTTATTAGCCTAAATATTTAGACATTTAAAGGCTTTAGACATAGCCGATTTCTTATCGTGACTGAGCTGAAGTGGCTTTCGGTTCATTTTTGTGACGCGCAGTTCCCGGAGACAGAGACGACAGATACTGTTTTTGTCGTTAGCCTAATATGAATACAAGTTTACAGTTTTGAACGATGTAAGCTACTCTACTCTTATCTGTATGACCAAAAAATTACGGAGTCAGTCGCCTATTAAGTTATTTTAGCTGTAA